ATAAACTCCCTTAGCCTTTTTTTGTCTGTGAAGCTTCTTATTTCCCCTTCAAGTTTGAATGATAGCCTTGCTGGATAGAGTATTCTTGGATTCAGTCCTTTGCTTTGCATCACTTTGTAAATTTCCGTCCATTCTTTTCTGGCCTGATGTGTTTCTGTTGAGAAATCATTTGACAATCTAATGGGAGATCCCTTGTATGTAACTTTCCGTCTCTCTCTTGCAGCCTGTAAGATTCTCTCTTTGTCCTGAACATTTGCCATGGTAATTATGATGTGTCTTGGTGTGGGTCTTTTTGGGTTCACCTTGTTTGGGACTCTCTGGGCTTGTGTGACTTTTTTCTTCCCCACCTCAGGGAAGTTTTCTGATATTATTTCTTCTAATAGGTTTTCTAATCCTTGTTCATCCTTCTGTTGTTCTGGTACCCCTATTATTCGTATGTTGTTTCGTTTCATGTTGTCCCAAAGCTCCCTTAGGCTCTCCTCCTGTCTTTTCATTTTTTTCTCCAATTGCAGTACATTTTGGGTGTGTTTCGCTTCCTTGTCTTCTAAATCACTAATTCGGTCCTCCGCTTCTCCTAGTCTACTGTTGATACTTTCAATGGAGTTTTTCATTGCAGCTATATCACTCTTCATATCTTCTTGGGTCTTACTTAAGTTGTTGATTTTTTCATCTGTTTCTTCTAGCTTCTTCCATATGTTATCGATTTTTTCATCTGTTTCTTCTAGCTTCTTCCATATGTTATCGATTTTTTCATCTGTTTCTTCTTGCTTCTTGCTGAGGTTGTCGATTTTTTCCTCCATCCGGTTTATGCACTCTAGGACCCTTATTCTGAATTCTTTTTCTGTCATGTTGCATGCCTCTGTATTACTTAGCTGCTTTTCTGGAGAGTCCTCCTTCTCTTTCCTTTGGGGGTTTCTTTGTCTACCCATGTTTGATCTCACTGACATATCTAGACGTTGAGTCGTTCAGTGGCTGCTCCCTTGGTGGCAGTGACTCCTTGGTCTGCGGTTCCTCTTCGGGCGGTTGCGGTAGCAGCTGCTCTTCAGTTGGCAGCAACTCCTCTGGTGGGTGCTGTTCACAGCTGTGGTGGCTCTTCTGGCTGGTGGGGCGAGGTTTCACGTACAGCTGCTGTTCCTCAGCAGAGGGTGTGGTGCTCAGGAGGTTGCTGTTGCTTGGATCTGCTGTGTTGATTTAAAGGCACAAGATACAACACAACAAGGCACCACGTACCAGGCACTATACACAAATATATTCACGATATTAATAACCCCAAATAAAGGTGAGCACCTGAATTAAGAGAATTAGGGGATAAGGAAAAGGAAGAGAAAAAGAGAAAAGAGAAAAAAGAAAAGAAAATTAGGGACCAAAAAAAGGAGTGCAAAAATGAAAGTGGGAAAAAGGAGGGGGGAAAGTAAAAGCGAGAAAAGAAAGGAAAAGAAAAAAAAAGAGCGAAAAGAGAGAATGAAGTGGAAGAGGGGAAGAGACTTTTTATATGAGGAGAATACTCCTATAGAACAGCCATTAATCCCAACAAATTCCAGCAACAGCTCCCTGGAGATAAATGCAAACTAGAAACAACCAATAATATAACGATGAAAATAGAATGGAGAACACTAATCCCAAAATAAAATAAAGAGAAAATAAAATGGCACTTTAAAAAAAATGGTAAAATGGTAGCAGTAATAATACTGGTTAAAAATAAGAAGGTAGTAATTAAAAGGGTAAAATCAGGTGATGGAAAAAAGAAGAAAAAAAAAAAAAAAGAAGAAGAAGAGGAAAAGAAAAAAAAAGAAAAAAAAAGAAAAAAAATTGGTTTCTTAGTTAAAAGGTGAAAAAAAAAAATATTGCAGTAGTGAAGGTCCTTCGGTTCTTCTATTCTTCAGTGTGGCTCGCCTTAGACCTGCCAGGTATTCAGGAGAGTGTTGAGTTTCCCTGCGATACACTGTTCCTCTGTGTTGTAAACCACAGTCCTTATTTTAAAGCAAGCCGCATTTGTTTCCCAGATTGCCTTATTTTGTGTTTAGCAAAGAGTCAGTTTGTGGGTCAGCCTCTGGGTGGCAGTGTTCTGGGGTTGGCCTCTGAGGCTACAGGGCCTCTCTGTCCAGTGGAAGTTCACTGCCCAGAGCTGGCTGCGTAAGAGTTACCAGTGCTGTGTTGTTGCTGGGATTGAAAATCCCTCTATAGGCCAGACCCTGTTAACTCCCAGGGACTGATCAGGTTATTTTAATCCTTGATCTCCTACAGGGTGGAATCTGGGTGTGGCTGTGCTCCTTGCCTGGGGGCTGGGGGGAGGAGTCTCACTCTCCGGAGAGAATGGCTGCCTCAGACGTGGGCTCAGGGGTGTCTCAGCACTCAATTCGCTGCCACCTCTCCCGGCCCCCCTTCTCTCCTCAGTCTCTCCCCAGATTCCACTCCTCCGCACACTCTCCCTCTCTTCAGCACAGGTGAGTGTCTGTATCCGAAATGTCCCATGAAGAGGGTTCAGTGAAAACAAACAAACAAACGCCGGCCGCGGAAACGGGGAAGGCTTGGTTTCTGTAAGCTTCTTCTCTTACCGGGACTGCATGGTCTGGTCAGCTCTTCAGGCTGCCCCCTTTAGGCTCAGTCCTCTGTGATCACAGACCCAGCTCTCAATTCCCCCGGCAGCGCCAGGAATCCCGCGGTTCTCCTTTCCCTCTCCTTCAATTTTAAATGATAGCCTTGCTGGAGAGAGTAGTCTTGGTTGTAGGTGCTTGCTTTTTATCACTTTGAATATTTCATGTCAGTCCCTTCAAAATTTTACTGTGGATTTTCACTTACCAGAAAAAATATTACATTTTCCTTGATTCCAAAATCTTGATCCTCAGCCATCTTACATTGAAAGTTATTTTTGTATCACAGTTCAGATTCTCCAGACTCTCATGTGCCGACTCATAATCTACCTGGGGTCAGATACTGATAATATTGATTTTTGGTTATAGAAATGCACATTCTGCATAATGAATGAGATCTTCAAATCCCCCAGACTTGGTTATAGTGTTAGCCCCAGCTGCTGAATAACCCCAGAAGAGGTGATGACTTTTCTGCAAATATTTATCAAACACTAATTGAAGATGACTATATGTTTGGGGTGTTTCAAGGAATATTTACTTTGAGTGCATGGCATCCCAAATGGAAATTTTTGCACTTTTGCTGGCTCTTAGGAAGGCTGTCCTTCAGTGCCTGGCAGCTCCAGGAGAGATCTGTCCAAGAGATGTGTGGTCTTCTGCTTAGGGGCAAGGGTCATGGTTTTTTTCAATTAAAAATGGACAAGTTGTAATTTAGAAATACATGGATGCCTGTGGATTTTTAAGTTGGATTTAAAAAGCTGTGGCAAGGAGTACAGCGAGCTCAGTCTTTAATTATAGGCCTCACCAGCTTTGTACTTTGTCATGCCAGGTGGAGGAGCAACACCATGGAGCAGCACGTTAGGCCTCTCACTATGGGCTTTCTGTCCGCTCTACAGAGTGGGGCGGCAGATGTGGACTTGGGTACCTGGGATGCCGGCGATCTTAAAGATGGCCCAAACATCAGTGAGGTACTAATGATTAGAGTGTTTTGTTGAGAGGTTTCCGCTGCTCACTAAACTAGGGCTGTCTGGCCATATAGTGTTTGCATTACTGAGGGGATGGAGTGGAGTAAAATACTTGCTGATTTGGAAATCCTCTGGTTATTGAGAAGGACAGTGGTGGTATATGTGGTTGAAACTAAATGAAGAAATGGAACATTTAACCATAGAGTGTTGGAGGAAAAAGGACCTTTGAGTCACCTGAGCCAGACAGTCATGGACATGAGCCAGGTAGATGGTGGCCCAGGGGACCTGGGTAGCACATGCCCCAAATAAAGGGTTGGTTCTCCTCAGTCCAGCCTCTCTGGGCCCGGAAGGAATGGCCCAGGGTTTCTGGATTTTCTCATTCAAAAGAAACTGAAAACCTAAATTTTATATACAATCTGTTCTAAGTATTGGCAACTAACCAAAATATTTCACAATGCCATGAGGGCAAACTGAGTGTGTCAGTGAGCTGTCAGCTTGCTCTCTGATGTCCACTGGTCTCCCTCATGCTACAGACGCAATGACCTGCTGACCTGGGTATGCGTTGGCTTGGTGGCAGCTGGAGGCCTGCAGGCCCAGTCTCTTGCATGCGAGGCTAGTTTTCTTTTTTCCCAAGGGCCCTTTCCCAGCATGATGAGGGTGTTCAGGGTTTTCTGGCTGCCAGGCTGCTCACCCTCTAATGTTCTTTTTTTTTTTTTTTTTTTTTTTTTTTTTTTTTTTTTTTTTTTTTATTTTCTAATAAGACTAAATTTATTCAATAACCTAGTAAAAGTTTTGAGTATAAGTATTCAACAGTATAAAAAGTACAAAACAGATTTGTAGATTTCTAATATATTAATACAAAGTGCATGACTACATACAGTACATCCTACAGGCAAAGAGAGGTGGAAGGGAAAAAGAAGACTGTGGTTGACTGTGGTCTAGTAATAAATAAATAAATACAGAAGTAGAGATGATCCATATTATAGTATATTCTACCACCGACACTGTAGCCAAAATGTACAAAATAAAAAAATAAAAAAAAGGACCATTTCCAAGTAACTCGGGAGGAAGAGGAGAATGGCTGAGACTCACGCAGGTCACCTTCGCGGCTGTGGGGGCGCCGCCCCAAACCACCGTGTTGTCTATACAGACGGTGGCTTGTAGTTTCTTCCAAAGGAATATAAAATTTTAAGTTTAGAATAAGAACTATAAAACTACAGGGTGCCCATAAAAAGTAGCTCACTCCTTATTGTTATTCATACTATCCAATTTTTAAAATCAGGCTTTAAAAATAAGCACCGAGTCATTTTATTATAAAGATAAGGTCGGAAAATGATCCTCCCTCGTTCTGAAAAAGTGTGAACCGGTAATATTCTTCCTGAATTGATAGAAAAGAGGCAATGAGAGTACTTGGGTTTGAGTTCAAGGAACAGGCTTTTCATAAAAATTTTAGAACCGAAGGGCCCCACGTTCAGGATTTATCATCTAAAATCTCAATGTTCAGAAAACCTGACTACAAAAAGCCAAACCCACTCAGCATTAACACACCTCTTTTCTTTTACTAGCATTTTACTTTAATATAGTGGTGGGGGGAGACGCTAAAACCCTCATACATTAAAACAAGTTGAACAAACACTCTACACAGATAAAACCTTCACAAAGGTCAACTGAAGTAATCCAGAGCTAAAACTGAATTGTGTAGATTTTCAATGAAGTCACCGGTAAGCAACACGAGCCAAAGTCAATTATTTACACACTCGGCGAGCCCTCTGAGAAGCGTGCCCCCAGAAGCATCAACCTTTGTTATTTTTATGCTATCCTGAAAGCCTGCACATTTTTCAGATATCTGAACATGTTTCATAGAGTGTGTTCTCTCCCATGTGGTAAAATAAAGCTTTGGTACTATCTATATTAAGATTGCTTATCCTGAAGACTTGCTTGACATTTCCCCAAGAGGAGCTTCGATTCTGCTTTAGAAGTTTCATATAAATTAAAATCTTCATCAAATAGCAATATGAAGGAGGTGACACAGGATACAACATATACAGTCCAGTTACCTCTTTGTATATTTAGAAATGACTCCTTCAAGGTATTTGTACCAGAGAGCTTATTCTGTCCTGCTTAATATTCAGTAGTACAGGTTTGAATCCTCAGCACCTTGGCAAGACCTTAATATTTTAAAATTATTAACAACTACCTCGAGGGGCAAGTCCAGGTTACTGGTTTATGACAAATTCATGATCATGAAGGAAAACAAGTGTAGTCAGCCATCTTTAAAAATGCCCCAACCACTGCTTCTCAATATAGAAAGACTAAAAACTACGTACGTTTATCATACAACAAATCCCATCTCTGTCCCCTGAAGTCCCCCTAATTTCATTCATGAGAAGGGGATTTAAAAGAAAAAGACTTAAAGAGCACTTTACAGCAGCATTCAGCTTTCCTATGAAATACTCAGCATCTTAAATATTATGTACATGTCTGTTTTTCCTTTTAGTAAGCTAGACACTGGCTTCAGAGTTGGTGGAACTTGTGGAAGTGGAGGAAAAAATAACCCATTCGGAACTATTCTAGAAATTGTCTTTTGGCAGAATAGCAGGTATCCAAGTGAAAAACAGGAAGGTCATTTTGTTGCTGTGTTTTGGGTTTTTTTTCCCCCTAAAATTTCAATCATTTCCTGTTCCCCTTTTACATACACCTCAGTCACCACTCCTGGGTGGAGATGGGCAGAGGCTCTGGGCTGGGCTCCTCCGGCTTCTCTGCAGCCGCCTTCTTGTTGCTGCAGCAAGGCTTGAAGAGGTGAGTGTCAATGAGGACTTCCCCAAAGCGGCCTTTATAGATAATCCCACAACATATTTTCTGTCTTTTCCAGTACGTGAGATCTAAAAAGGAAAAAACTGGCGTTCTGCTGGAGCCCGAAGCCACCTCTGTATCTGAGCCCTCATCTGACTGGTTACTGTAACAAGGAGACTGAGCTGGGGAGGCACTTGAGGTGGTGCTGTGAGCATCAGAATTATGACGTTTAAATTCCTTCTGTAGTTTGCTGATCTGGTTGCTTTTTATCCTGTTTCCAGATAGAGTTTTCACTTTCTTTGGTTTCAGTGTAGTCTTCAGGCTAGGTCCTGCCCTTGCATCTACCACGTGATTCCAGTTTTTTTTGGATCCTGCTGGCAATTTCTTCCATCTTTTCACAAGCAGGACACAGGCATTACAGATGTCTCCTGAACGTGTCTCATGCAACCCAAAACAGCTCTGGAAATCCTTCTCATAGCGCTTACTGTCCGTGAATCGAGAACTGGAGGACTTAGCTCTGCAAATACAGCAGCCTTCTATACTTCGGTACATCTTTGGCTTGTGAAAACCAAACATCTTTTCTTCTAGGCAATAGTCTTCCCAAAACAGCCGTTCCACGCGCAGTAACGTTCCCGAGGCGCGGAGTGCACGCCAGGCCAGCCCCCCCGCCGCTCGCTCCCTCCTCCTCAACTGCCTTGTCTAGCCCTCTAATGTTCTTGAAAGAGCTTCCTAGAATCCACAGTCACGGCCAGCTGGACTTCCCTGAGGTGTGGCTTCCGCTCGCGGTGCTCAGTTCGCACATGCCAGGTGGATTCTTGGCCCGTTTGTGTGTTTTCCTACGATATCAGTTGACCTTCCCCGGGTGGGGGGTTACTCTCCACACACTTGGGCCCCGAGACGGGCTCGCTCAGTGTGAACACTGCGCACAAGCGTGGCGGAGTAGGAAGGAGCTGGTCACTGGGTGAAGAGGGAAAAGTTCCAAAGAGATTCAGACAACCCCAACCTCCACCCACTTCAGGCTCGTGCTCTTGGACCTCAGCCTAACCTGAGACTTATCCGCTCCTCCAGGGGAGCTACAGTTAGGTATCTTTGGCACCTGTTCTCAGAGTGGACCGCAGACCCCTGCAGCAGGTCACCCGGGGATAGTGGAGAATGAGCACGTCCTGAGCCCCTACCACCCACACCCTCAGGATTAGAATATTGGGGTTTGCCCCGGAAATCTCCCTATTAGACATACTCCCCAGGCTCTTGTGCACACAGAAGTTTAGGAATCACTGTTCTGGGGATGGCAGAGGCACTGGGCAGTAGGGCCTCCCCATTGATAGGCCCCCCACAGCAACGCAAGCAGATCAGCTGGCCCTTCCGGCTCATATACCTCAGAACCAAAGGCAGGGTTCCATACAATGGAATATATATATTTTTTTTAGTAATAAAGGGAATGAAGTAAATATTATGGCATGGGTTAACCTTGAAAACTTTAAATATCTTAATTTTTTTTTTTTTATTGATTGCAGAGAGGAAGGGAGAGGGAGAGAGAGATAGAAACATCAATGATGAGAATCATCAATTGATTGCCTCCTGCATGCCCCACACTGGGAATAGAGCCCACAACCCAGGCATGTGCCCTGACTGGAAATTGAGCCATGACCTCCTAGTTCATAGGTCTATGCTCAACCACTGAGCCATGCTGGCTGGGTGAAAACTTGATACTAAGTGAAAGAAGCCAGTTACAAAAGACCATATATTGTATGATTCCATTTATATGAAATGTATAGAATAGGCAAATATATAGAGAAGGAAAGTAGATTAGTGTTTTCTGGAAGCTAGAGGTAGTGTGTTGAAGGAATGAGGAGTTACTGCTAATGGACATGTGATGAACGTCCTATATAATAAAAGGTAGTATGCAAATTGTCCCTTAGACCGGGAAGTTGTCCGGGAGTTCTACTAGGGGGTGGGGCTGGCCTGGGGAAGGGAGGGAGTACCAGGCGGCAGCCGCTATCTCTCTCTCCCTCTCCCTTCCTCTCTGAAATCAATAAAAAATATATTTACAAAAAATGGAGGTGAAATGAAGGTATTTGTAGAAAATAGGAACTGAGGACATTCACTAAAGAAGGAAATGGACTCTCACTAAAGAAGGAAATGATCCCAGAAGCACAGAAATTCTGGAAGGAATGATGTGTAAGAGACAAGGTAAAAATTGGGTAAATTTGAATGAATAGTGACTGCCCCAAACAATACTATGTATTGAGGTTCAAAATATATTTTTCAATATCTCAAAAAGTGTAGACTACATTAAAGTGGTCTAGTGCCCTTAAATTGTCTTGGCAGTGATACTCATTTATGGCAGGTTCTGCTGAGACAGGAAGCCATGTGGTTATCCAGGGTAAATTACCAAAAGTATTAATAACTAGGAATACATAGAATAAAGAAAGGAAATATGGAATAATAAAAATAGTTAAACCAAAAGATGACAAGAAAGGAAGAAAAAGGAACTAGAACAAGTAGATCAAATACTACATCAGAAACTACTTTAGATGAACATACTGAATAAATACCTTTATTAGAAAACTAAATTTTTCAGATTTGATTTTTTAAAAAAAGCTACATTCTACTTATAAGAGACACATCTTAAATCTGTGGGCATCAAGTGTTGTCAGTAAAAAACTGGAAGAAGGTACACCATGGAGCACTAACCAGAAGAAGTGGTACAGATGTATTAGGAACAGATGACACAATCTCTGAGATCAGAAACATTGCTAGAAAAAAAGAAGAACTCTCATAGTGCTAAAGGAGTCAGTCCACTAGGGAATATAAATAAACAGACAAATAAATAAAATGTTGACAGAGTTAAAAGGAAAAATAGAAAAATGCACAGTTGTAGAGGGATATTAATACACTTCTCTATAGAACAAGCAGATTAAAAGCAGTAAGAATAGCAGTAAGGACTGGCCAGCATGGCTCAGTTGGTTGGGCATCATCCTGTGCACCAAAAGGTTGCTGGTTCTACTCCAGGTCAAGGCACCTGCCCAGGTTGCAGGATTGATCCCCAGGAGGGTGTGCAGAAGGCAGCCAGATCAATGTTATGCTCTCACTTGGATGTTTCTCTCTCCCTTTCCCTTTTTTTCTCTCTTTCTCTCAAAAAAACACACACAAAAAAACCCCTATATTTTAAGAAAGCTCAAAAAAAAAAAAAAAAAAGCAGTAAGGACAGAAGAGACTTGAGGGTCCCTTTTAACAAACTCTGAAGCTGTGGAGTACACATTCTTTCCACTGGGTCACAGAATAAGTTTCAAGAAATTTTATAGAATTGATATCACACAGGGTATATTTTCTGGCCACAAATTGATCTAGAAATGAACAATAAAAAGATACTAGTAAATTTCCAAATATTTGGAAATTATGCAATATACTTCTAAATAACCCACAGGTCAAAGAAGAAATTAAGAAGAAATTTCCAGTGAAATTTAGAAACTATTTTGGATCGAAGATGATGACTATATGGCATATCAGATTTGTGGGCTGCAGCTAAGCCCTAGTTAGAGGAAAATTCTAGTCTTAAATGTACAAAATTGAAAAGAAGAAGACGGAAAATCTTAAGATCTTAGACATTAGAAAAAAATACCAGCATATTAATCATAAAGAATGTAGAAGGAAGGAAATAATAAAGATAAGAGTGGAAATTAATGAGATAGAAAACAAACTTAAAATAATGGAAAAGCAATGTAATCAAAAGTTGGTTCTTTCATAAGACCAATAAGTGAATAAAGAACTGATCCTAAACTGTTAGAGAAAAAAATGGGAAAGCACCAATTACCAATGTCAGGAATGAAAAGGGGGACACCCCTACATTCTCAAGACACGAAAAGCTAGCTGTTATCTGTGGGCACATCAATGCACTTGTGGGATTTCAACTGCTGTGTTTTTATTCATGCCAAGCCCCCAAATTTATTTTCCTATCATTGTCATCACTTGCTTTAGACATAACATGTAAAAACTAAAAATCCCAATTTTATCCCCTCTCCCTGCCCCTAGTAGCTGTTTGTCTAATGTTTCCCATGTTTGTAAAAGGTACCACTACTTATTAATTTGCTCAAGCAAGAAACTCAAGGTTTTGCCTCTCTCTGTTGGATACCTCCACATTTGATCAAATAGCACGTCGTTTGGACTTTTCCTTTCTCCCTCCCCTCTCTTTCCACTGCTTCTGTGATTGTCCTAGTGACCTTGAGATCACCCCCCCCACCCACCATCCAGCAATGGTCTCTTCTTTTGCCTTCCCTTTCTGTCCCACCTTGCAAAGCTGGTCCTGCATGCATCTCTCTACAACCCTTTCACGGCTTCTGGTTGCCCTAGAATCAAGTCTAAAATCTAGGGGGGCCAGAAGGTTCCCCTCTGCAGCCCTTGACCTTCCTTCAGGCTTTTGCAGTAACTGACTCATTGTCCTCATGTCCCTGAACTCTCACCAGCCGTTGGTGATCTGTCCCATCCACAGCCCCGAGGGCCCTGGACCTGGCTGTCACACTCATGGCCCGCTCCCTGGGATGTGGCACAGTGCCTGGCCCAGAGGACGAGCACAGGAGAGGATCGGTAATTTGAGCGAGCGAATGAACAATAACGGATCAATAAGTATCCCGAACCTTAGTGCTGACATTATTTTTCAACTTGGCTGAAGTGAAACAAAATGGGAAAAGGTACCTGTAAACATAAGTCAGTCTAGTCCAGCCTTTCTCAAGAGAGATGTTTAATGCATTTTTAGTTATTTATTTAATGATAAAAAGGTCTTTAAAAGAGTTCAAATATTTACCAGATTATCACACCCCCTCAGTTTAAGCTCTTAATAGGAGAAGTCTGGCCTTTGTCTTTCCTGTAGAACTTGGCAGAAACTTTTGCCTTTAGTTGGTGAGCTGTGCAATTCTCTTGACTCAAATAAAAATGTAGGGCTTGATTTGGAAATTGCCTAAATCCGTTTTAGGATGTCGGTTCTCTCATTGGGGTTGGTGGCCACTAAGAACACAACTTAGTAAAGGTTTCTGAGGAACTGAAATCCAACTGTTTTCAGAATCAATTTAGTGATATTATTTCATAACCCATGCATGCTGCATCTTTAAAAATATCCTCACAGTTCACCCAAAAACATTTATGAAAGTATCTGCAATGTATATGTTGTTCCAGATGGGCCCACAGGGATCGAAAACTATTAATATTATTTGTTGGGATGAGCCAACAGGACCTATTTTCTTCTGATGTCGTGTAAATTAGTTTCATTTGGTCTTTTTCTTAAGCAACCCAACCAAGTGTTACATGTATTTTTTGTACATGAAAAATGACTTCTTTATAGGAGCTGAATCATTTTTTATTGTGAATGTATTATAGACACAAAAGAGTAAACAGGAAGCGTATATGTAGCTTGCAGGATAATGAAGTGAATGCTATGTCCTTGCTACCCATCTTAGGAAATGGCAGAGGGAAGCCATGGCATCTGTGCCCTCAACCTTGTCCCTTGTGGTGGGCATTATGGGTGTGGGGGCACCTGGCCCACAAATGTGTGATAGTTGAGCCAGGGTTTTGTGTTCTTCAGAACCAGAAGGGACTCATGGCACTGCTTGCGGGAAAGCACTTTCCTAACCTCTTTTGCTTGTCAGTGAGGACCAGTTTCTTGTCTCTGCTGCCTTTAGAAGGAACCAGAAAGTTGAAGGAAGC